TGAAATTTGAATGGTTTCATGGCCGGACGGTTGCTGGATATTTCATTCCTTTGTGGTTTTTTTAAATTTCCTATCCTGTTTGGTTGACGAGCTATTTCCTTATTGCGGTTGTCATTGTTAATTAAACCCACAACACTGAGGCAGTGTGTGAAAAGCTAAGTCCACCCATGATCCAGGAGCTTTGTCCTACAGCTTCCACATTCAGCATTGTAGGAAGCTGATGTCCTGGTTTGAATACTTTGGTATCCAGAGGAGTTCCTGATGGCCTCCCAGGTCCTGATGATGATTCTGTCCAAACATCTCCATTTTGGTCTGCTCTTTGTGCCATATGTTTAAAGCAGCTTTACAAACCTAATGTGCTTTTGACAGAGGCCCAAACAGAAAAGCCATACTTGTTAAGTCTGTTTCCAACTGCACTGTCATGACCTGTAACCTGGTAAATGGAGCCTGTCTGAGATGCGTTTCTTAGGTTTTTGAATTTATGCTCTCGATCTCTGAGCCGGACTCTATAAATGACCTCATAAGCCTTCCCTGTTTGATTGGCAGCAGCATTGCATCAGACTGATCTCTCATAAGCTCATAAGCGTTTGCCTCTCAGCTACTGGATTATATTCATTCTCCTATTTCCTTTAGAAGCAGTAAGGCTTGACTTTACACATTTTGTGAACTATACTGGTATATAGAGAAAATTGCAGAATCGAACGTGGGTGGACTTTATTTCTCACATGACTGAGTGTGTGAGTTCCAGTGTTTCATGTCAAAAATAGTAACAGTGGGAACTGTGATAATTCACTGGCAGGCCAAAAACCATCTAAATATCACACGGAAACGTCGGCAGTTGTGCTTTAGTCACTGTGTCTGTCCCATGTGTACTGCAATGAAGCATGTGTCACATAGACATGTAGTTTGATTTTCATACTGCACAGTGAGTACTGAAGTCTGCACGGCTGCACAAACACACATCTATACTTTATTCTTAATGCCCCATACATTTTCAGTAACAAAAAGGTCTCTGCTTGTTAAGGAGCAGAGTGTAGACAAAGAGCCCTCTCACTGAACAATGTAGCTTTAGATATAACACCAGTTAATTTTTGGTAATTTTGTTTTAGCTGACTATTTTTTAAGGAAAACTGCATTTTAACATCCTGAAATGATCTTATTAACTTCACTAAAAAGTGTTTAATTTGAATACAATCAGATAAGTGTGTGACAGCCTCACCAAACACACACATAGCATCAGGTATAATGTTATGGTTGTCACCACACCACGCACACTGACAGTATCTGCCTTCTGCTCTTCCAGTCCTGTGATTGTTGAGATCCCTCACTTTGCTGCTCTGCGGGGGAAAGAGCGAGAGCTGGTCATCCTGAGGAGTGAGACAGGAGAGAGCTGGAAGGAGCACCACTGCGAATACACCCAGGAGGAGCTTAACCAGATCCTAAATGGCATGGATGAAGGTCTGCCTCTGTCAGCAAACAGGGAAGGGAAACGCTTTCACATCAGGGGCCTTGACCTGTGATGTGGTTTGCTTCTTTCCACAGATCTGGACACACCTGAGGAGCTGGAGCGGAAACGCGTCTGTCGAATCATCACGAGAGACTTCCCGCAATACTTTGCAGTGGTGTCACGCGTCAAGCAAGACAGCAATCTGATTGGTCCTGAGGGAGGGATCCTAAGCAGCACTGTGGTGCCCCAAGTCCAGGCAGTATTTCCCGAGGGGGCACTCACTAAGAGGATAAGGGTTGGACTACAGGTAGCTGTTCACACTTTAAAATGTACCTTTTTTTTAAATCTCTTTCTGTGAAATACAGGATGTGATGGCAATGCTTAGTAACCAATGAGCTAAGTTCTCCAGAGGTAAAAAGCCTTTTACATACCAGTGGGTAAATGCTGGTCAGCAGTTGAATAACTACAGAAAAAAGTTTTGTCTGAAGCTACTGGATAATTGTCTTGGTCAAAAAGATGCTCCTGCCATAAAAAAAATCAAAACTTTTAGATTTTCTACTCCTCCCATCGGTGTTGTATCAGATTCTGGATTTGGCTGTTTGGATGTCTTGTCTTTAAATGTAATCCAGACAAAGAATTGGATTTATGGTGATAGAAAGTGAGGTTTCTGTGTCTTCTACTCTCCCAGGCCCAGCCAGTGAGTGTAGACGTAGTGCGGAAGATCCTTGGTAACAAGGCCACCTTCAGCCCCATCGTCACCCTAGAGCCCCGCAGGAGGAAGTTCCATAAACCCATCACCATGACCATTCCTGTACCCAAGAGCAACTCCAACCCGGTCCTGAACGGTTTTGGAGGGGACACACCCACTTTACGATTGCTCTGTAGTATAACCGGTGAGAGGACACTCAAACGTATACCCAGGTCTGAAATGCATAGCGTTTGGTCACAAGCTGATGGGGATACTTCTATTTGGTGTTTTTGTTATTCATTATTCAGGTGGAACAACTCCAGCCCAGTGGGAGGATATAACAGGAACCACCCCCTTAACTTTTATCAATGACTGCGTATCGTTCACCACTAATGTGTCTGCCAGGTAAAACAACTTGTTCAAGCATGGTGACCAGATGTCAGTTGTCAAACACCTAACCTTCTTTATTTTATCCCTCCCATCTCTAGATTCTGGCTTATAGACTGTCGACAAATCCAGGAATCGGTCACCTTCTCCTCTCAGGTATACCGAGAGATTATCTGTGTCCCCTACATGGCCAAGTTTGTCATATTTGCCAAGACCCATGACCCCATTGAGGCCCGCCTGCGCTGCTTCTGCATGACCGACGACAAGATAGATAAAACCCTGGAGCAACAGGAGAACTTCACCGAGGTCGCCCGGAGCAGAGACGTGGAGGTGAGGAAGGATTAAGGAAGAGATAATCAATCGGAGAATGCCAAAAGCCCCTGAATTGTTCGTAAATGAATGGATGACTCTAGTGTGATCACTGTCAGCCATTCCTTTTCAGTATCTTATTATAAATCTTACATTTGCTATCAAGAATCAGTATGTTTTGGCTGTTAATGTAATAATGTATTTTGGTGGACAGTAGTCCACAGATGGGTATATTATATTCTTACTAAGTGTTCTAGTAGAGGCCATTAGTTTGAGAAAACAAAATGAGGCCTAGACAGAGTCTAGCAGTGGATTGCTGGTCAGGGTCAACAGCCCTGAAAAGTTCGATATTCTCATCAAGTAGAAGACATCGGTGGTATGGGTGAACTTTATTTCTGTTATTCAGTCATTGTCTTCCAACTTTTCTTAGGTTCTTGAAGGCAAACCTATCTATGCAGACTGCTTCGGAAACCTAGTTCCTTTAACAAAAAGTGGACAACATCATCTCTTCAGCTTCTATGCCTTTAAAGAGAATAGACTGGCACTCTTCATCAAAGTGAGCACCAACTCTTATTTATTCCTCTAAAACACCTGATTGTTAGGATCAGTTTTTCATATTCTTGGACTCTTAGTGTATCTAAGGATCAGCTTATTAGTGCTGAGCTCCTATTTTTCTAGATCCGAGACAACACTCAGGAGCCATGTGGTCGACTGTCCTTTATGAAGGAACCCAGGAACTACAGGGCACTAACCCAATATGCCATATGCAACCTAAACATCACACTCCCGTCATACTGCAAGGTGAGCATACTTCACAAAAGTAATGGTACTTACAGTGTGTTGTTATAATGAAGGATCAATTCATAATCAGTTTTCATTGAGCGCCTTTGTCAACTCCCAAGACCACTGAGGTTTACATTAAGTCTACATTAGTTTCACTATAAATTGTTTCCTGTGTTCTTTCTGCCCTTAATGTTTCTGTTGTGTGTATCTATCTATTTCTTGCTGCTTTTTGCTCCCTAAAGGAGTCCGATTCTGACCAAGAGGAAGAGGTAAAAGTAGCCCCGGGCTCCCACTCAATTTTTTGCACATGAGATCTACAAATTCTTCCTTTCGGTTCTCTGTTTATGTTTATGTTTATGCAGTTAGCGGGTGCTTTTATCCAAAGTGACTTACAAAATAGACACAAATTTACAGTCATCATCCATATGACAATAAGTTCTCTAGAGGAAAATCCATAGAATCAGAACCAGTGGTGACAGCAAGAGAGAGAGAGGGAAGTGCAGAAAGAGTAGTAGGGAGTACAGAGATCTGGGTAAGGGTCAGGATAAGAGATGTTCTTCGAAGAAGTTGGTATTTGATAGTTTCCTAAAGATAGAAAGGGACGCTCCTGTTCTTGTGGCACTTGGTAGGTCATTCCACCATCTTGTAACAACAGCTCAAAACAGTCTGGATTGTCTTCAGAATCAGAAATACTTTAATAATCCCAGAGGGAAATTATTTAAGCGTGCTGAAGGCACTGCTAGACCACAATCTGTTGATGACCGGAGCGATCAAGTTGTGACATAAGCCTTTGTAAGAGGGTTTAAGTAGACCGGAGCCGGACCCTTAAGCACTTTGTAGGCTAGCATCAGGGACTTGAATTTGATACGGGCAGCCAGGGGTAGCCACTGAAGCTCAGTGAACAGAAGGGTGACCACATTGACTAAATGTAGTGTTTATCGTGGCAGAGATTATGATTATGAAGCAGTAATAACGTTGGAAGCAGTCTGAACAAGGAAAACTATGTAGCTAGTCATAAAATCTAATGGGTATTTCATCTTTTCTTTTTCAGGCCAGCAGAACATTTGAGAAATGTAAGTAATTTATTCCTGCTTAATTATCCCTGTAGCTTGTACTAAAATAGCTATTCTGCTTGATGGTAATGTTACTCATTGTATTAATATTATAATAACAGCTTCGATACTGTGGACGTGATATATAACAGAGTGCAGAGGAATAACTGAACAATGATAGACCGAGCTCAACCATCACTTCAAACCATGCATCCAAGCCTGTCCTGTCACTCATACAACAGCTCTCACACGCCCATCCATGCATCCCTGTGATATACTTCTGAGACTTAACTATTTGCTCTCACTTCTCTCTAAATTCTTCACTTGCATAATTGTTTTCAGTGTAACTGTTTCACTATTTGAGATCGAGCAGGATAAAGCACCGCTATCAACATGCGTACAACAAATGAGATCTTATCTGCATATCCTAAGTCAGTCCAATCATTTGCCTTTTTGGTAGACAACTACAATATTATATAGCAGCAGGATACAATTGAATGAAGCTTTTCTGTGGAAGTGCAGCTGGAGTGATAAGTATTGACAGAAGCACATCAGGACTTTACTTGATGATGCCTCCTTCCTCTTCTGCTGTACAATGTTCTACCGGTGATGTACTTGTATCTCTGATCATCAAAAAAATTTGCCTACTCTCATGCATTTGCAGCACAAATTCAAGTGTGGAAAAAAAGAAATTACTTTTAAACAACCCTCTGAAATGATCTTAAGACTATGATTTTAGTGTTCAAATTTCAGCTTTTAGAGTAATGGCAAAGCAAAAAAAAGTTCTACCTCCAGACAAATTCTGAATCCTTCCATCAAGCATTTAGTGATGTAAAATCACTTAATGTGCTAAAGTTCATATGTTAAGAGATACCAGGCAAACATATATATTACATGTTATTAATTAATGTTACATGTATGTTTTTAGAAAACATTTTTATCCATTATGTTATACAAATGAAAGTTTTGCGTGAAAGGGGCCAAAACTCCACACAATTCTTAATGATACAATCATCTTAAATAACTTCTTATCATGAGCACATCGTCAATTTGCAAAAGGGAGTTGTATAGGGACTTGGTACAACTACATAATCTGTCTGATCACCCCATTCATCCTTTTCCTTGACCTTTCCACCAGCACTTCCCTTAGTTTTGCATGGAAATAACTTGACTTACTGAAATGTGTACGTGTGTGCTTGCATGTGTCTAATATGTGTGTAGTTTGTCGTTTTGGTCATTTTCTTAATATTGGAATGTCAGCTCACAACACTCATTTTCTTATGGTTTTGTGGATTGCTTTTGTTTAATTTAAATGTTTACTTTAGGTTAAACAAGAATCCCAATGGAGGATAAATGATACAGCTATTATTACGATCCTCATTATACTTTATTAACCTAAAGTAAATGGTTAGCTTTATATAAGAATAACATTTTGTTATTTGTGGAATATCACTGGCTTTCTTTATTTGATAGTTTTCTTTCAAACCATTTTTTGCCTGTTATCATGGCAATAGCCATCCAAGCAATCTTGAGATCTTTTCTTGTCGTTTTCTTTTATGTTCTTTTCTCTGTTGCACAGTCATCATCATCTCATAATTTGTATAGTTTTTATTGTATATTTTTGTTGTGCTGCATAGTTTTGTCTTGTGTGAGTGTGGGTGCGAGTGTAAGAGCAAGTTATTTCCTGCTCATGTCTTTTCCCATTGATATTATTTAGCATTCGCATTACCGCAATTACCCTGAGACAAGAGAAAGAAAAAAAGCATATTCCTCTGATACCCTAATGTAGAATCCATTGTGCATTAGTTGTCCTATTATCCCAAAAGTGTTTTCCAATCTTTTCCTGATCACCTTTTCCAATGTCTGTCTCCTTTCATTTGAATTTTTGATTTTCTTTATTCCTTACGTGTATTTCTTCCATATGGAAGATGAAGAGACGGAGTCATCAGCCCCAAAATCTGAGCTGATTCGAGAACCAGATCTCCTATCCGACGTGTCAGAGATGAAACAGGATTTGATCAAAATGACTGCCATCCTCACTGCAGATGCAACAGAGAAATCATCCTCCTTATCAGGGTGTGGTCTAGAGAAAGGGACTGAGGACGTTTCTGGAGAACCATTAGAAATAATGGAGAAGGACTTAGAGAGAGTCAAAGAGGACCTAGAAAAAGTCAGCGAGATACTGAGGAGTGGAACATATCAGGGGGAGGTGACAGAGGAAGCAGCAAAGGCAGCTAGAATGTCAGAGGAGTGGGTTCTCCTTTCAGACAGTGAAATAGACGAGGCCAAA